CATTCCCCCGGAGGAGCTGGAGGAAGTGTCTGGAGAGAGGGAAGTCTGGGCATCTTTGCTTAGACTGCTGCCCCCGTGACCCGGTCCCGGATAAGTGGAGGAAAATGGATGGATGGATGGATGAATTTGGCAAACAGCAGACAGTGCACTGAGGGTGCCCCCTGTCGCCCCTCCTGTTTTTCCAGCAGCCCTCAGTCAATTTCCTATCAGACTTTCAATCAAATGGAAATAGCTTCACTAATTTGATAGTGAGTGGTGGAAAGGCACAGAGGAGACTCACAACTTAAATAATTAGACCCATGTCCCTCCCACAAGACATCTGATCCCACATGCTCTTCACTGCTATTCAGCTACATGCTGTGCTTTTTTAAAAATTGCCTTGTTGGTGTCTTATCACTCTGTATTACATGTGTTTAAAGTGTCTTTTAATGATGAATTAAATGGCTAATTTATTTAGATTTTTGGGTAGTTGATGCATGTTTTTTTTTTCTCCTCTACAGTGTTTGCCAATCCATGGGCATGGATTTGTCTTAGATAAGTACAAGTGCCACTGCAAGAAAGGATTCTACCACCCCAACAGAGTAGCTGATAATGGGTTTGCAAGTAAGTGCTGATACATCCATCAGTCTCTTGTTTTAATGATCACAGGTAAAATTCTGTTTGTCGTGATCACGATGTGTCCGTGCAAGGTAACAATACAAGAGTTTGGAAAAATTACAGCCTACTTTTTGATGAGGGTTTGGTGCAGCTGGCTCCCTCTGGGTGCCTGAAACAACTACCATCACTTTTACATACATACATTCACTATTCTCAAAATCATGTGACATTTTGAAAACTCAATTGATTTTGTTTAGAGTTAACAAATTAGAACTAGATTAGTTTGTTTTGAGCAAAGTTCATTTTTGAGGTTACACAAAGCTTTTTAAGGCATTTTTCTCATCTGATGAAGTCCATGATATGTGGTTTAAAAGCCATGGAAAAACTAAACCTTGATTCAGGATAATTTTGTTACTTTGTTTTGCTTTGATACTGTCCTCCTGTCGTAGTTTGGCAGCATATCACAACTGGTATTAATTATGACTGGAGGAAAGGAGACTCGAAAAGTCTGCTTTAGGAGGAAGTTGGGGTGGATGGGCAGGTACACACAACACAGGACTTTCCCTCAGGAGAGCTGAGTTTAATTCCAGTGTGTGGCTTGTTTTTCAGGGGTGTTTGTTCCTAAGATTTTTTTCCCTAAATGTCTGTGCAGATTCTTTCCCTCAATGTCATTTTTGTTTCTAATCATAACTAAGTGTTTTGTGTGGCAAAACATAATGAAACTGTGAAGGTTTCATAATCTTACTGTCATGTTTATGACAGTTTGCAAGACAACAGAGTTACAGTGGCTTGCTGTTAGCTGGCACGCTAGCTAACGGATAAAAGTCTGTAAAGGTTAGTGGTGTCATGTACATTGTTAAATTTAGCAAGATTGCTTCTCCTGTGACCATAGGAGTGCTATTTAATGAGTTGCCTCTATGGGTCGCATGAAGGGACAAATGACCATATGGGTCATGTAAGTTGGAGGCTTGGAGCCTGTGAGGCACTAACCACTGCATCACCATTTCACCTTATTGCATTATATAACATCTTCATCTTTATAACTAGGTAAACATAAGGGGTGCATGTTACTGCTAGCTCCAGAAATATGTTTTAAAGGTAGTTACCATTGTCAGTTTATTCTATGTGCTGTGAGTTAATTAAAAAAAAGGCTTTTACAGACATAAAACCCCAGTGGATTTCAGCTACCCTCCATCAGTCTCTGCCATACTTTCATCTCAATCCACTCTGCCTGCCTTATCTCACTCTAACCTTGTACAGCATGTTCCTCTGTGTGTTTCAATTTTACCCCCTTTTCACCCATTTCCCCTCCTTCAGTCAGTTTTTCTACCATCTCATTGTGCCCATTTGTCGCTCTAAAATATCCCCCTTCATGCACAGAAAAGAGAGCTGGGACTCTGTGCCATTTGCTCCTGCCTGCTTGTGCTGTTTGTTTGCCATGAGGGCACACAAATGTCCATGTTCACACTGCTTAGTGTGTGTGTGTGTGTGTGTGTGTGTGTGTGTGTGTGTGTGTGTGTGTGTGTGTGTGCCTTCAAGAACACAGTAATAAAGAGGAGAGGCAAGCCTGTTAGTGAGGCATAGTGTTGCAGTCTGGTCCACCTTGGGGCCAATAACAAGCTTGTTAATCCACATGGGGACATCCTTGACACTGCAAAGGAAACCAGTGCAACTCAGTTTCCTTTGTCTCCCAGTGATCTTCCACTGTAGATCTTGCAGATAAATATGAGGGAGAGTTTAGCTAAGCTTCCTTTGCCTGTCAGTCAAATGTTGGAGCAACAAACCAGTGAGAATGAGCTAAAGGATATGACTCATTGCCTGGGAGATAAGTAGCACTTCTGAAAAGATCAATGATGTGTGGAGTCACAGCTTTGAAAAATAGGCCAGTTTCTTTTTAAAGGCAAAATCCCTGCAAATCTCTGAGACAATGGTTGTTTCAAATGGAGCCTTTATAAATGCTTTGTATAAATTCACCATCTGTTATCTATACAACCACATGGGCATCTATCAGGGGATTTCTACACAAACCAATAACAAGTCCACTAGCTTCTTCTTTTCCTCTTAGATTTTTCTTGGCTTTTAGTTTCACATTCAATGCATTTTGTCAGTGCTGTTCAGTGTGACCAAACTTCTCCACCTTTTGAAGCCTCTGTGGTACATTTTAATACAGTACATTTACTATTAACAATTTCAACTGTTTACCTATTAATCTTCAACCGGTTACTTTTACAGTTTCAAGAGTTTATTGCTTCCAGATTTTCACATTATAAAGATTCTGCACCATTAATTTCAAGATTTCAAGTGTTTATTTATTGTCCTGAGATCTACTGGCTTGAATATTTGTAATTAAGTATGTACTCCATACTGCTGTCTTTGACAGGGATGGGAAGAAAGGGAAAAGCTGCAGACAGTGGCCCCAGTGCAGACGAGGGCTCTTCGAGCGACTGCCTGCCATGCCAGCAGGGCTGTGCCTACTGTAAGGATGACACCCCCTGTGTGGCACGAGAGGACAGCCCTCTTCGCATGGCTGTGCTTTCTTTCCAGTGCCTTTGCATACTGACTGTCTTTGTTAGCATGGTGCTTATCTACCATTTTCGCCGAAATAAGGTAGGCGCTACATGCTCATAACACCGAATTTGGTTCCTTTATTGCGGTTTCTCTGACACTGAGTGATTAATAGGCCTACTACACAGGTGTCGCTCACTTAAACCCAAGTAAACCTTTGACAGAACTTGTGAAATCCTCTGAGCCTCCAATTGCTTCTGTCAATTAATTGGCTTAATTAAAGGCTCTCTTATGAGCATAAGACCTGAGGATTAGCTTGAAGATTCTTCATGTTCCCGACAGAGGAGCATCTCGCTGCTCCATCTCCCATGGATCATTGGACTTTATCATTATATTAGCCAGGGTCAAATGAAGGTTGTCTCACAGTAGTGAAGGCAGATGAAATTTTTAGATGCCCCAGGGCTTTGTCCTAATTTAAAGGCTAGTTATGTAATCCATATTAATCTTATCAAAATAAGTTAAAGGCTTAGTTTCTTAGGTCTTCAAAGACTTTTTAATAAATTAAAATGGTTCATTTTTAAAAACAAGTTTGGACTGTAGTTTTTTATTTTTATTTTTTAATTTTAAGCAAGGTAAACATTAATCATCTGGTTTACATGCTGTAGCTGTGGTTAGTGTTTTGCGTTGTCTTTTGTATGTATTTTTAAATGGATGCCACAGCTATCTTCTGCTCTTTGAAAGCCCCCTCAAGCATCTTGTCAATTACAGGACGATATGTTGTTAAATATATTTAAGGTGCATAGAAAATGCCTCAAATGGTGAGCCATATAAAAGGTGCTGGAGGCAGCAGCTTTCACTGTACTTTGTTCTCTTTCAACCAACACTGAAGAAGACTCCATTCCTCTTTTCAAATGTGCCTGGAGTAATGTGATCCTGTTTTTTTTTGTTTTTTTGTTAAACCTCCTGCAGTATAAATGACATAAAGCAGTTTGCTAAACATTTAGCAAACTGCTTTATATCTGTTTGGTAGAAAATGAAAAAGTATCATAATATAGAAATTCTGGACATTATAATTCTGCAAACCAGAACATAAATTGCTTTTGCATCCAGCTTTCCAAGTTTCCCTCAGCTTTATCTAATGTTTTACTGTCTTTCAGCTTACTGTTGTTGAATAATTTTACTGTTTGGATCCACAGTCATCACCTCTCATCGGTATTTATTATTTCCAGCAGCAATAGGGAGCTGTTTTTAATGAAAATGCTCAGGTAAACATACCTGTCTGGCACCAAGAAAAGACAATGTTGGCAAGTAGATAGTGAATGAAGTTCAGACAAAGTAGCTACATAGCTATACATAGCTAAGCATAGCTATAAAGTGAGTGAATATTGTTGGGTGGCAAAAGCAGGACTCCCACTGAACACTAATGTTGTTCTAAGAACTTTTTGCTATAATAACTGTCTAGTATTTCAGTGTTGCATTTAAACCCTGTTGTGCCACCTCCAAGTGGTCAAAAATGAACCATTGCAAGTTCAAATAGGTTATGGTTGATAAATTAGAAGTTTAATGTTTATTGTATGCTTCTTTTTGATAGAGTATCCGAGCATCAGGTCTGGTCCTGCTGGAGGCCATCTTGAGTGGAGCTCTGCTTCTTTACTTTCCGGTAAGTCTCAGACACTTGATTACATTTCCCACCTCTGGACATATTAGCTTCATGTCACGATTCTTTGAGCTGGAAACAAAAGCCTCCCTGACACATTTCACACATGGACCTTCTTTTCACACTGTTGTTCAGTCATCTCAAACAAAACCAGAAGCAGCGGCACAAAGCAGGATTGTTTACCTTGTCAGACGCCACAAACCTTTGTTCATAAATCATATCATTTAGGCTGTGTTTTTTCACAGCTGCATGGAGCTGTGATAACCAGGGTTTCCACAGCAAAGGTGTGCATGTGATAAAACAAGACTGGCAGAGACAAATATCCCAGGGCTTGTTGGTGACCCCCTGCTACTGTACACACAGCAGGACACTAAACCCAGCAGCCTGTCAACACAACAGCCACTCCAGCTGCTATATCCAGAGAGCACTCATTCAGATCCACACAAAACATTTGTCTGGTATTCTTAACACAAACTCTGTTCACTTTTGATATGGTCATGCTTTCCAATGGTTTTTCGATGTTAAATGTAAATGGCTGTCTGATCAGGAGTTCAGATCAGATCCAGATGAAATTTTGTCTGATGCTAGACACTGGCACCATACATATGTATGAAATTTCAAATGATTTTGACATTTGACAGAGACATGATTTTTAAAAATTTTACCCCATGTTAAAGCTAGGGATATTTTATTATTATTATTTTTTTATCTTGACCTTTTTTTAGCCAAAATCTAATCACTTCCAGGGTTGGTCCTCACCAATGTCTGTACTGATGATCCATCCAGCCGTTTGGCCTTAATCCTGCTAACCAACACACACACACACACACACACAGACACACAAAAAAAAATCTCCTTGGTGGAGGTAAAAATGGATTAACACTGTAACGGAGCCGAAACATTCACAGAAAAAAAAAGCAAAATATTTAACTTGCTGTGTAATTTTGCACCAGTTGAAAATGGCCACACTGTGACAAGACTCAGTCCAGCATCTACATATATCCTCTCAGGTGCTTGGGGAAATAACAATTTAGCTGCATTCATGTGGAGCTATATGTTTAGCGAAGCAGTGCATGGTAACTGTAATTAAAGCCAAATGATTTTGGGTCGACTAATTGGTGCAATTTGCTACAACAAGGTACTGGAAAATAATATCTGAAATTTGCAGAGTGAATGCAAGCTGAGGAGTCAGGTTATTAGTCAACGAATGAATGAACAGAGTTGATATCTAGCTGATCTAGTGGTGGCAGCAAATGCTAGAAGTAGATTGCTTGTAAGGGAGCTAGTTTTAATGCTCTGATTGAGATGATTCTGTACTGTCATGCTGTACTGGTCTCTGTGAACATGACTGAGTTTGCTTTGATAAAATATCTCACTGCCATCCTGTGAAAATATGAACTTTCTTCATGGCTCTGTGCAGCTTGCTAGATCTTGACTTGATCTCCACCATGATACATATCCATGTTTTCTCTGTGAATCCCACATGAGCCATGGCTGTGCAGTGAAATGCATCACTCACAATCTAAATATAGATTCAGAAAAATCCCACCGCTATTGCTGCTTCTATTTTAAATAATTCCCCTGTTATTAAGCACCAGGAGATACATCTCACTTTGCTCTGGGGCATCTTCTTTGTGGAGTAATACCATATCTCCCCCTCTTTCTCTCTTGAGTGTGTCACATGTAATAACTTCATACCTCTTGCTTTGAAATCAAAAGAGGGGAGAGAAGAACAGGGAGTGCAGAAAGACAGAGGCAAAAGTGTGGCAGTGCCAGAGCCTGCTATTTCCGTCTGGCTGTGGAGATGAGACAGGAGGAGAGCAGACATGCATTTGTGATTCACAGTGTGATCCCTGGATTAGCTTGCCAGCCTTGCGTTTGTCTTTTGGCAGCTTGTTATTGATGCTGCTAGGAAAGCTGAGATTGAAGGAAAGTGAGTAGAGTCTGGAATGCTATTGTTATTTTTTTTAAAGATGTCAGCAGTTCCTCCATTCAAACCAAAAATAAATTCAGACAAGAGTAATGAATCAGATGCATTGCACTATGGTGCCACAAGTCCCCCAATCTTTACAATCCATGTGGTTGTTTGCCCCTTCCCTCTCACATGACCCATAGGGGTGTCTTATTAAATAATGCACCTACAGCTGGAGGACAAATTGTCAACATTAACAACATCGTATATCACACAACCAAGCTTTATGGATCTTTTTCATCATGGAAACAGCAATAACCCAGTCACATGACCACAATAATATTTTCACAATATTATTGCTAGAAAATGTATATCGGGGAACAACAAACCATTCTCCACTTTCTCCTCTTTTAACTTAATTTCACTTAATTTCCTGGTCACCGCTCATATCATAACAATTTTCATTTACTTTGATTAAGGTAGGATATCCTAGAATAATTTTTAATGTACTCCAATAACCTAGCTGTGAGACTAGGTTTGCCTAATGGGTCTTATGCCATCCATGGCCCAATCACTCAGTTAGCATATAAGGCAGCAACCAGCACTCATTCCTTGCCAGATTTTCTATGTGCTATGAAGCTAGCCTGTTAGCCTCAGTGTTCCTGATTGTTCCTAGTGTCAGGACCATGTCCTTGTGACTTTGCCTTGCTCCCTGGATTTATTGTTTGATCTGGACTGTGCATGATTCTTACTTGATATGAGTCAGTAACAACCTGCTTACTTAGCAGCATGCAAACACAATATACAGCTTAACTTTCCCTCCCTATTTCCCATTCCATCTGTGTGCTCCAGGCTGCCACAGAGCCTACACTAATTGTTGTTTTCTCCCTGCATGCTCTCCCCTGTGAGACATGCCACGCCTCCTGCTCTGCTGCTTATGCATTCATAAATATTAACACACGTGAAGGTGGTAAACTGTAAGTTGCTATTTTTAGTTTTGGCAGCAGTTTTTGCGTTAAGCATTCATTGCTGCAGTGTTTTGTTCCATGTTATATTAGCTGGTGATGGCAAGAGCAATAATAATAATAATAAGACAAACTGTTTCACCTTCTAGATGAGAAAATCATATCCTATACAATGTATACTACCGAATATACAGCAGTGTTGTAGTCAAGTTCCCAGTGTTCGAGTCTGAGTTGAGTCCATGTTACCCGAGTCTATGTTAAACACAACTGACACAGGCCTCACCATTTTATATGCCAAACTATCTAACAGTCTATTGCAGAGGATACTATCGACTTTCTCATTGTCTATCATTTTAACGGACAGCGTCATATCATCTTATTGTCCTCTTTTCTTCTGTAATGGTTGAAATACACCTGACTGGAGAATTGGTGACACCATTTGCATTGTTAGGGTGGGTGAAAACATTCATTAATTAGCATTTTCTTTTGCTGATTTTCTGGAAATTCAGTTATAAAGCACTAGATTTGGATGAAAACCTGTCAGTCTTTTGGATGTTAAATGAACTTGAGCTACTAATTTGCAACTGACATCTGAGTTTTTCATGAGTTTGAAGCTACAAGTTCTATACAAGCAAAACTATTTATTTATAAGGTTAAAGAAAAACCCTGGTTATGTCATAATTCCTGTCTTTGTCTTGTCCACATCCCGTGTTTTTCCTGAATCTTGTTCCCCTATTAAATTAAACCTAATTTTGTTCAGGGCAGAGTAGAGAATGTCTTCAGTGTTCTTCTCAAGAAAACCTGTTGTTTTCAATCCAGCGGTCTTTTGAGCCTAATTCCCTTGTTCTTTGTCTTTCCACCTGTCCGATGTGGGACTTCAGCCAAAGGCAGGGCTGGCGGGCAGGGCAACACATCTCATCAGGGGGCTAATGAGAAACTGTATGGCCAGGGGATAACGTATCCTGACCTGACAGACCCATTTCTCTTTCTTGTTCTGCTCTGCCTTCCATCCAAGCTGTTCTGACACTTTCAATCTGACTTGAGTGGATTTAGAGGGTTGCAGACCTTCCTTCATACTTCACTTCCCTTTCTCCTTCTACAAAGTGATCTCAAAACATATGTTCACCAAGATGAAATTGAGGATAAACTGTAAAGGTTGAGGTGTTCCTTCTATTTGTATGGGCAGAGATATGTATGAGATTATGCAAATAAAGATAGCGTCCCCACATGTAGGCAGGCTACTTCCTACCTCTTGCATTCCTTTGTGCCCAGGCAAGATGGGAATATCTCTCAGAAGCTATCTGGTGATGAGGAGGAAAGGGAATTGTGGGAGACAAGCGCCAACCAGTTCTAGTATTGACTATTCAGAGGCCAAGCTAGATGTAATTTACACTCAGGCCACCTCAGGGAGCAGCGGGATGAGAAACAACCATTACCTCCCTCCAGAAAGCTGTCCATCCCATGTGGCAGAGAGTGTCAGCTTTCATATAAAAATGGACACCCCACCTCTCTTCTGCTCGCACTGGTGCTCGCTTCCACTCTCTTATATTAAAGATGTTTTGCAGCTTAGAAAAAAAGAAGACACAGGGAATGTGCAGGAGATGACCAGAAAAGGCAGGGCATGAGCGCACTGATAGCTGTCAACACTTCATGTCCAAACATTAAAAGTAGCATGAGAGCTTTGTTGTGGCAGAATCATTCCTGAGGTTGCACCATCCCTACTACATCTCTCCTCAGATGGAGACAGACACACTAAATGGTTGAAAGTCATTTTAGCTGGTAGGAGATTCCAAAGAAACTGTGATAACAAAAGGCTGAATTTCAGCTGTGCCTGTTGTTGTGACAAATGTTTTCAGCACTTGGTTTTCATGTTTTTTAAATCATAAAACGGATATATTTATACTACATGAGATGACTAGTATGTAATATTTTATTTTGCCATTTTCATTTCAGTAAGTGCTCTTTTACTGAGAGGTTGCTCTTCTGCCCATCACAGCTGCCAGCAACTTTTAAACCACAATTTTATTTTGAATGCATGTACTATTGTTCTAACAGGCACAATTGAAATTGAAAGGTGATTCACTTTATGAAGTTCTCAACACATTTATTTGTGAATTTTATCAGAA